CCCAATAGCTCCGTTGTTGCCTGTAAGTGGCTATTTAAGGTTAAGGAAGAGCCTAACGACATTAGATATAAGGCTAGGTTAGTAGCTAAGGGATTTACTCAAAAGGAAGGTGTTGATTATGCTAAAATCTTTGCTCCTGTAGTTAAATTTACTACGATTCGTATGATGCTTGCTCTTGTTGCTCATAATGACTGGGAAATGAAGCAAATGGACGTCACCACTGCATTCTTGCATGGTGATTTAGACAAGAAAATCTATATGTCCCAGCCTGAGGGCTTTGTGGATCCCATGAAGAGTGATCATGTGTGTTTGCTTAGGAAGGCTTTGTACGGCCTGAAGCAGTCCCCGAGGCAGTGGAATATCAAATTTGACCAGTGCATGTCATCTTTGAAATTTCACAAGTCCGAATGCGACCATTGCCTATACTTTAAAAATACTTCTTCTGTGCCTGTATTTTTATTGCTATATGTGGATGATATGCTTATTGTGAGTCCTTCGGGTGACGCCATTAAATGTGTGCAAAAGCGTCTCAGTGAGAACTTTGCTATGAAAGACCTAGGTGATGCCAAAAGGATCCTAGGCATTAACATTGTTAGGGATAGGAGTAAGCGTGTGTTAGTTCTCAATCAGATTTCATATATTGAAAAGATTTTGAGTAAATATAACATGCATTCTGCTACTCCCGTTTCTATCCCGATGGCGTCTCACTTTGTGTTAAGTAAGGATCAGTCTCCCAAGACTGCTCCTGAAATTGCTAAAATGAAATCTGTGCCTTATTCCAATGCTATTGGGTCCGTGATGTATCTCATGGTGAGTACTAGACCCGACATTGCCTATGCTGTTAGTTGCTTGAGTAGGTATATGTCTAATCTTGGTTTAGATCATTGGAATGCTCTTAAGTGGTTGCTTAGGTACTTGAAATCTACTGTTAATCATGGGTTGGTTTTCACTAGGTGTTCTGAGGGGGTTAAGTTGAGTGGGTATGTGGACTCTAATTTTGCTAATGATAGAGACAATAGGAAATCCACTACCTCTTATGTGTTTACTCTTTGTGGGTCGTGCATTAGTTGGAAATCTCAACTTCAACCCATAGTTGCCCTATCCACCACTGAGTCGGAGTATGTGGCCGCTACCGAAGCGTTTAAGGAAGCCATTTGGCTTAAACGTCTCCTAACGGAGATTGGTAGTCTTAAGCAGGATATTTGTGTGTTTTCTGATAGTCAATCTGCTATTCAATTGTGTAAAAACCCTGTTTTTCATGATAGAACTAAGCACATTGATGTTAGATTTCATTTTATACGAGATATTGTGAGTGCAGGTCATATCAAGTTGATTAAAATTCCATCGGAATTTAATCCTGCTGACATGGGGACTAAATGTCTCTTGGTCGAAAAGTTGCTGTCGTGCAAACGCACGTTAAACATTGATTGCGGATAAGTTGCCTGGTGATCTTACCCCGTTTGCCTGAATATGTCTTTGTGATTATTCGGGCAATCCAGCGATGATGAGTCTCATGTATGTTTTAGAGTTTTAACTCTACACCACTAAGGTCCAATAAGGTGGAGAATGTGTTGGTATTGGCCCGCTATTTTCTATAAGCCCAAAACCAATGAGGTACCCGACCCATGTCTTTATTCTACCCGCTGCATCACTTTGATCCCAATCGGCTTTCTTCTCTTCTGGCTCGATTACTTACCTTCCCTGTACTTATGCGATTCGGTCAATTTCTTCCTCTATGGTAAGTTACCTCTTTGGCGATTTGCTTGGCCTATTTAATCCCCCTCTCTGCCAATGAGTAAGGGGTGGTGGAAACCTCTCCTCGCCTCAACTTCGACTCTTTGTAGCCTCCTCTGTGGAACCTTCAAAGAGTTGGCCGGAAATTAGCCCGTGGCTAACGCCCCCTTCTCCCTTAGTGATTCTAGTGGTGCTTATTACCCTTTGTGGGTATAATCCTTGGAGACCTGAGCTGGAAGTAGCTTTCAACAAGTAAATATGTTTTAAAACGGTACTCCGGATTTTAAAATTTTATGCCTTGTAAAACTAAGCAAAGATAATAACAACAAATAAGTTGCCGTAAACTACATGCAGATTGTAACCTTTATATTACATACGGAGTATTTTTCTTTTTCTTTTAATTATTTATGGTATTTACAAGTCTTACAGCTCCAAAAAAATGTTTGTTTATTCATTTATACTCCGTATATCTTTTGTTTTTTTTTTTTAAATTGTGACCGTTAATTTGGAGCAGAAAGCTTTTTCGGATGAGACAAATAATGCTTCCTATTATGCATGTGGGATATGTATGTATTCATGTTGAGCTAGAAGCCTAGAAGTGTCCTCAGAAAGTTGCAAAATAGATAGAATCCGTGATTACATTCATTTATAAGAAGACAAATGGCCATGCAAACTAATGAATATCTTATGTCAGTATTCAGTATGCTCACAGCTTCACATATGTAATAGTGCATAAGAAAATGGGAAACTGATGAACTATATTTTGCAGACCCGTGACTATACATCTAATTTATATACAACCGATCGAGATAATAAGTTGAAAAATGTTTCTTCACCCGTTACTATTCTTTTACTCGTGATTATCTTATACGTAGTATATTTTATCTACTTTACATATGAACTCAATCGTTTCTTCTTTATGCCCATTTTGTGCTCACTAATAACCATTTACAATAATACCTCTATAGTATTTAGCTATTCCCGTATCAATTTTCTGCTTGTGTAGCATTCTCTCTGCTTACGGAGTATCATCATTGTGGATAATTATGACTTACTTTTTATAAGTCGAAATCTTATTCTCTACTGGAGGTTTATCAAAATTGATTGAAGAATCAATTGTTCAAAGGTATGTTGCCTATATTTTTCTTTCCGTATATGATAGAAAATTTATTTAAAACAGAGAATAATTTTCAGGTTTTAATACTACAAGAAGATAATAAATATTGATGCTACTACCTGCAGGAGATGATTTCTTGAAGAGCTTTGAGCAGATTCGTGCTGATAACGTGTTGTGAAATGAAGAAGATGAACACCAAATTTAAGAGATATATATATATTATTAAAAGCCTCTAAATTACTTCTTCTTAATATATGATAACTTCTCAATTTCTGAATTACATTTACAAAGGATTGAGCACCCTATTTATACTAGTTGGCTAGGAGATGAATCATCAAAGAATGATTCTACATAATTTGCTGGCAACATTAAACCTAGCCACCTGTCTATTACAAGAACTAGAATTGGATTAGTGTCCTGATGACAAGGATGAGCAATTCACACTTGTCATTCTCAGGAATTTACAACAGATAAAGTTATGTAACATCTCTTCTTTTAAAAGAGAACGACATTTGGGAAAAAACTATGTATGTTATGTTGTAATATTTGAAAAAACTAGGGGTGGGCAATTCGGTTTACGGTTCGGTTTTCTTCGGTCTCGGTTCGGTTTCGGTTTATTCGGGTTGGGAGAATTTGTACCAAACTAAAACCATTTTTGTTTCGGTTCGATTTTGGTTCGGTTTGAAGTTCGGTTTACTAAAGTAAACAATATCATGTTTAATTTAGTTTGGTTTGATTAATGAGGTTTTTCCACAAATATTAATGAAATATAATTAATAGACAAAAATATTACTATAGTTACGATGCAAATCATTATGGTGATAGAGTTGAACACAATCGTGATCACTAAAGTTACTATGATAGTCACTAAGTCATATTTTAGTCTATTACTTTTATTTCAGTCATATATTTGTCATTATTTCTTGATTAATTCGTTTGCTTATGTTTATTATTTTATTTGATCAAGTTCTATATTTTAGCATTAGAAAATGAAAGTAGTAGTCCATCTCATCTTTTTTTAATTTATTGATTATTTTAATAAAATGTAAAAGGAAATAAAAGATAGAAAAATAAATAATAAAATATTATAAATTAAAACTTCTAACATCTTTTTTATCACTACAAAAAATTCACTTCTTACAAAAAATAAGATAGTTGATTAGCTTTTATAATATCACCTAAAATATTCAAAAAAACTAAAAGAGTCGGTGGTACAAATGTTGTAATATTCATAATTTTATTCAAATGAATCATGTACAAATATAAATGCAATTTGCTATTGTTATCGCCAAACAAAATAAATACTCCGTAAATATGTAGTATTAGCTAACTTTGTCATAATGAATATATGAAATGAGTAAAAATTAAAATGATATGAGTATATGCTTAAATACGTATTTTCATGTCTAAATTATTTATTTATATCTTAAAATGAAGAGTGTGGATAAATACAAAGTATATATATTGTTTGGTGTTCGGTTCGCTTTACAGTTTTTCCGTTTAAACCAAACCAAACCAAAGTACCAAACCATTCGGTTTGAGCAAATGTTTACCAAACGGTTTACGTAAGTAAACTCAAACCAAACCAAATCAAACCACTAATTTTAATATATGAAAGTTTTTTTGAGTTTCTTTAGTTCAGTTCGGTTTTGTTCGGTTTTTATCGGTTTCGGTTTGGTTCGGTTTGGTATAAAACGGTTTGAAAGAAATAGTACCAAACTCAAACCAAATTGTTTGCGGTCCGGTTTCGTCGGTTTGGTACGGTTCGGTTAAACCAAACCGTTATGCTCCACCCCTAGAAAAAACTATGAGAAAAAACGGAGTATTTGTAAATATAATTTACATTTTAGATATGTTTGTATTATTACATATTATTCAAATCTACATAACTTTAATCACAGCTCTTTCCCGTGCATTTGCACAGGATTATTGTCTAGCCTGTGTGTGTATATATAGGTTGAGGAGGGTTGCCCCTTTCCCTACCTTTGATACGACACTGATCGACCTGTTTCATTCCCGCTGCCACGGGTGTCAATGAAACCTAGGAACTTATGATTATTGTTATTAACGGGAAAACAATCTACTCTTTTCCCGGCAAGTTCTTTAAAAAAAACATGGGAAAAAACAATTCAGCACTTGATCGCCTGTTGTAAGAAATTGAATAGGGGTTGGAGAAGGAAGAAACTTGAATGATTTAAACAAAGTTTAGTCACATTTAAAAAAAAGAATAGAGGTGATATGTAAAAACATCCCACTAAAACAAATATTACCATGTCCTGGTTGGGAGACTGTCATGTCACAAGCAGCAATAATTACTAATTGTACTTACTATCTGACGTTGTTAGAATGTCACGCAGCAACCCAGCAAGAGCTGCCTCCAAGAATTCGACCTTTCCACCCCTGCAATATCCAGTTGCCCTCTTCCACAAACAGAAAGTCTTTGTGATATCCTGCCCTCACCTTGCTTTTTAACTTTTTCACGAGTTTGGGGTTAGTCGACATGGGCTTGAAGCCTGCCCTCAAAATGCGAGATTGCCACTGCTTACATGTTTCAGGCCTCAACAATCTTTCCATGCCCTCACATGCAATGATGTTCATTATCTCTCGACCTAGAACTTCTTGTTCTAAAATCAATCTATGATGCTCATGGAGTGGCAAAATAGCCTCACACGTATCAAAGACAGTAGAGTAGAATGAGAGAGCTTCTCGAAACCGATTGACAAAGAAAGGAGAGCTGTGAGGTCCGTTACTCATTGCTTGGACATATATATGAGGACTTACTTTCCGTATTAAGTTTAAAACCGCATCCCTAGGACTGTTCATAACAACCAATGTCTCATCCAAAATGTACTCTAATCGAATAAAACAGTTAACAGCAACCACCTCATCACTCAAAAGCTTTAAATCCTCAATTGATATAGTCTCCCAATTCTGCCTTGTGAGCGCGTTGTACTCGAATGGCACACCGAAACACTGGCAACATTTTGCTAAGCGGAAACCTGTTTCTTCTACCATCTGCTCTGGACGAAAACCGGGTAGGGGAATCTCGATTCCTGTTATTCGAAGTTTAGGCGGGCCATCAGGTCTTTGAGAAAGGTCCCGGATAAGAGTGGGCCACTGGATACCATAATGAATCCCAAAGTCTATAATGTGCAGTGAGACACATTTTGACGCTACTTCGTAAATCATTCTATTCGCAAAGAAAACTGCCATTCTCATAAACGGCAAAGGTGACAGGTAGGACTTTAGCAACTCAGGGACTAGGACATCATTATTAGACATTGCTTTATATACTTGTGTCCCAGTTCCAGCCAACCGCACCTCCAGACTATCAGCGAATACATTAGCCACTCTTTGATTTGGGTCACCTGTAGGTGAAGAGTGCTGCCTGATCTTTTTTAATTTATCTTCTGCACCCCTATAATCAGCATTTGCAACAGATTGTGCGCAGCTAATTAAAAGAGACACCAGATCCACATTTTCACAATTACCTCCGCATTTCTTAAGATGGCGGTGACCACTTCGTCCTTTTTGTCTGAGTCGGGATAGAGAAGCACTATCATCACCATCATCATCTTCACCACACAGCAAAACATTATCAAAATCCTCTGATAACTCAACTTCCTCCTTACAAAGTGCAGGCTGCTTGTTTCTCCTTTCTTCTTCCACCCCACTTTCATCTGGATGGTAATAATGCTTCTTTCCTCTACGGTACGAATTCACTGAACGGTCCTTATCTATCTTGGGGACATCAATATCTCTCGGTGACTCCTCATGTTTCTCCAAGTCATTGATGATATGCTGTTTACGGGCAGCTTGAAGGCATCTACTAGATTCAGCCACACCTCTCATGAATCGAGATATGGACTCACTATCACCAAAGCTATATAGAGAACCGTTTGACAATCCGGATGATAACTTGATGGCGAGATCGGGGGGAGGCTCACTCGTAACACACGATTCGCATTCTCCTGGATCAACATCATTCCTGAATGAGCTTCCAGGAATGTTGTGAATAGGTGGGGAAGGGTTCTCATGCAAGGCTTCATAAAAGGCATTCTCAGCAGCTCTGAGAGCAATGGGATCAAAGGACATGTTCTGATTGTTCCCATCAATGCTCTCTTCCTCCAGTAGCATCTGGCTAATGTAGTTCAGCGTGGAATCAGAGTCCAAAGCAGGACCATGAGTGCCCAGGTTGGGATGTTGTGCCACTGAAAGGGTATGCTTGTAACTGTCTGGAATGTCCACTGATGGTTTAAAGGTAGAGAAAATGATCTCATTCTCCAACTGGAAACTGTTCATAGAGGAGTTAGGCAAGCTTCTGAGCCGATGATCCATAACCATATACTATAACCGACCTATAGCCACATATGGAAAATAAATACTCCCTCAGTCCCAAATTGTTAGATACATTTACTATTCACTTGGTCAACATAAATCACTCAATTTTTTATTTTATAAATAAAAAGTTTATGAAATTTGAATTATTTTTTGCAGACTTTGTAGCGGTTTTAATGTAGTTTCTGAATATGTAAATTTTATTTTCTAGAACTAATTTGAGTGCTGATAGGGATCAATTTGCTTTATCGTCAGTCAAACATCGTACACCGTAATGTATCTTACAAATTGGGACGGGGGAGTAAATAAATAAATAAATAAACTGCAGCAATGATGAAACTAATAATCACTCATGTTTTAAGCATTTTGAAGTCAACTTGGATATCTAAAAACCAAAAATCTAGTCTTGATGCAACTGTAATAAAAGGACTAGGTCATTCCACCTCAGTACTGGGCCACTGGCGGTTTGAGTCCCTGTTGACAATGTGGAGATAAAGATAATAATCAGCCCAAACATTTCATGTGTTCCCAGAAATATGTGATGCATTAAAAAAAAACAAATCTTATCGAATGTTTCACCAAAAATTAAACAATTTCCGAATTGCTATAAACAGAATCAAACTTCTGAGCAATACAATAGAACAATCAGTGACTGAACAACAAGTTGTACTAACTCTACATCGCAATCAACCAGTAGCATTGAGCCATTTGCCAATCACAAATATAAGTGCGTACCTTGGAATGAGAGGAGGGATATGATTTTTCAGAAATTCGAGGGCTGTGAAATAGCAGCAAAGTGAATGTGCTTAGTTAGTACACAGAGTAATTAAGAAATGGGAAAAGAGAAAGGAATTTGAAGCTTCTGAAACAAACCGTCAAGACTTGAAGAGAATAAGAAGTAAAATACTCCGTTCACCATTGTAGTTGTATATAGGTGAGAGGTTAGGCACCAAATTAATTGCCGTCTGCAGGAATGAATAGGAATGGAAGCGTGGGTCTGTTAGTGCTCTGAGAACAAAGTTGATACCTCGCCTAACTCCGTACCCTACTCATGTGATATTTCTACGTCATCAAATTGGATAATCATGCTAAATTGCTGACAATTACCCGTCCACCCTACAACCGGCTGCAAGTGAGCACCGGTTGTATTATTGTACTGTTAAATGAGTAATAGTTCAATTTTGATGAGTATTAAGAGTCTAATAATATGCACCGTGTTATTACAAGACAATTGATATCACAATTAAAAAACGTGGCATTTTCGCAATTCCAGTGAAAATCGTGGTTTTCGTCATACGAGAATTCATACACTTTTAATGAGCATCATATGGATTCTATTGAGCATTAAGAGTCGAATAATGAGTATTGTGATAACTACTTCATATATTGTAATTCACTTTCTTTTTCTTATTTTTTTCTTTTATAAAATCTCATTAAATTATATCTATAATCAATTCCTATAAATTTCAATATGCGAATCTAATTTAATACGAAGTATGATACTTTTGAAATATGCATTGTTATGACATTTTAAAAACGAGCACATCAGTACCAAATGAGCATAAGTAACGTACAAATGAGCATTGATATGAAAATCGTAAGTTTTGTTAGTTGAGCATCAAACCTCCTCTATTGATTATTAGCATTATGCAATTTAGTGAGTTGAGCATCAGGCATGTTTTGTTGCGCATTGAAAGCCTAACAATGTTTTGTTAATGTGAATCTAATGTAATATGATTCTTTTGAAATGTTAAGATTAAACTCACACAACACGAAGAACAATAAAAAGAACACACGAAATTTGGTAACTCATTTCGCCATGAATGACTACGTCTGGGGGCGCTACCATGCCAGAATATTGCTATTTATTTCGGATCAATGATTACAAGGAGAGAGCTTGTATTTTTAGAGAGTAAAACATAACCCCAACACTAATAGGGCGTGCTGCCCAAATGGTACAAAACTCGCGGCAGAAAAGGACTCACAAAATTTGGTACCCCTTACGGTCCAAAATTCGGTACCCCTTACAAAAAAAAATTCGGTACCCAAAATGATCGACGGAATGACCTTGGTTATACAGTCTCTAACACCTAACATGAAATATGCATTGATGTGACATTTTAAAAGTGAGCATGACATCACTACGAATTGAGCACATGTAACATATAAAATGAACATTGATATGAAAATCATAAGTTTTTTTGTTCATATTTTAATTGAGTATCAAATCTCCTCAATTGAGTATTAGAATTATGCGGTTGAGCATCATGATATGTTCTCTCGTGTCTATAATCAAGTCTTATGTTAAAATACAATGAGCAGAAGACCGGTACCAAATGAGCAAACACAACTTACAAAATGAGTATCGAAAAAATCAAAAGTTCATTTGTGTCTGCACATTCATTTCAGGCGTTATAACGTAAAACTCAATGTGATGAAGTGGCTATGGGAGCCATGGAAGCCGACGTGATCACATCCATCAGTGTCGTCCCCAATGACTCCTGCACCATAAATGCAAAACTGAATGAGTAGAGCTAGTAATTTTGAATTAAATCAAATTGAGATTAAATTATACGAAGTATATTTGTTGATAAAACCATAGAAGTGGGAAGTTTGATGTTACCCGGTTGTGATTTGATTTGATGGTTTCTCAAGCTCCAGCACGTGAAGGGGAAATCCAGTGACTTTGGTACTGGAAGAAATGTTCCAAGGAGTGATCGCCAAGTCTTGTGAAATTGCAGAAGCGCGATCGGCAGGCATAGTAGCCGGAACCTGGAAGAGATGAGCGACAGATAATTACAAAAATGCCGGTTGTACGGTGCTCACCGTACAACTAGCTGTACGGTATAATTTACCAATAAGTACTACGTAATTTGAATAAATTTTTTATTTTTATTAAAATATTTTGTATTCATCTTCATTATTCATCTTTAGGATATAAAAAAATGTAAAATGTATCTTTAATATATATGGAGTACTGCGTATCATTTTAAACTTACACATTTCATACATAGAGCCCGTTTGGTAACACGAAATTAAAAGTGGCTGATTCGGCTGATTATGCTGAAATTCATGAAGTTGTGGCTGAAGTGGCTGCATTGGCTGATTCTGCTGATTTTATAAAAAATATTTAAAAAAAATACGGAGTATATTTTATTAATAAAATAAAGAAAAAAGTATATGTAAAATAGCTAAAATGGCCATTTGCAATAACTGCAGCCAATACAGCCAAAAACTAACTCCAACCTTACTTTTTCTTATCATTACAAAATTTAGCGCGTGAAAACAAAAGTTACATGTTTGATGAAAACATTGACTGATAAGCTTGATAAGCTGAAAAACGATGTTACCAAACGGCCTCATAATCATTATAACAAAGTTACCTAATACCCCGTACGACTTACTATGTATAATAATGCTGGTATATTGGTATTTGTTTCAATTTATACTTAACTAGTATCTTTACATGTGCCGTGCACGAAATAAAGTAATTTTGTTGTTTAGTTTTAGTAACGAAAAATCACTTATTTAATCGATTATAACATTTGTTTATAATGCATATTCTAATTTATTGAGTATGCCTTCTAAGAGAGAGGAGAGCTCTGAGTTCCCTCTAAAAACCTAGCGGCCATCTCCCCTCTTTGTAGGGGTTGAGATTTTCTGCCGCCCCATTAATACGGGGTGGTACGGCAAATTATTCTAATTTGAAGTGTTCGAACGCTTAGGATTGCAACTATGTCGGAGGAGATAACATTGGTGGATGAACGCATTGCAGATGAGATTTTGTATTGGTGCTGGATTGTAAAACAGCTCATAGAGTAGAAGACAGAGGTGAGAGTTGCGAATATTCATACCCTGCTCTGAATTGTAAAATCATTACGGTATTGAATATAAAACTCTATTCTTTTCTATTCCATTGTTTTGATTGTTGGACAAGGACAAACACAGCAACCTAGTCAGACCCGTCCGAATAACTATCAGGATACATGGACTATATTTCTTCAAGGCCAGTCCGTTTTACGGGCCATCCTACGATAAGTTTTCCTATCCTTTTCTTTACCCATTTTCCATTTATTCTAATCATTTTCTTTTCTTTTAATTTCTTGCATTTGGCGGTTTGTCTGGTGATTTGTTTAAACTCGGGATTTTTATCTGGTTAACCTCGCATTTTAATATCATTTTTGTAACAATCTTGAAGAAAGTAATTATTTCTCGAGTTTTGGAAAATCCAAAAATGGCAAACTTGGAAAAAGTTGTTATTTCCGAAAATGTTGTTGTTGAGAATGATGTGAATGATATCCCTCAAAATAATGTTAATTCTGTGTCTACGACTAACTTTGGAGATACATCTGAATATGCTGCTACGGGCTCACACAGGGTTGATTTAACCGGGATGTCGGGAAAATTTTCTGCACATTTTTTCAAGCATTGGCAACAACACATGAAAATTTGGTTAATCACCAAGGCTTGCTCTCGGCAATTATGACGGTGTGTCCCCCCGTTGTTGAATTGCATCCCAAAAGTCTTGAACGCCAAGCTTTGTGGTGTGAGATGAATGAAATTGCAAAAGGCGTGATTTTGTTTGGTCTCTCCGACATGTTATTTGATGTCTATTGCACCCTCCACGGCACGGCTAAAGACCTTTGAGATGAGTTTGATAGGAAACATAATACAGAGGACTACGGTCTTGAAAAGTATATTGTTTATTTCTAAATTCCTACGATCGATTTGACATGAATGAAGGTAAATCGGTGTTAGAACAAACACAAGAATTTGAGCTTATCTTACATTTTCTTCGTGAAGCGGATATGGAATTGCCTAAAAATTTAAAGTGATAGCGGTCATAGAAAAATTTCTCAAATCATGGGAAGATTTCGGTATGACTTTAAAACATACTACCTCCGTCCCAAATTGATTTGCGAATTTGACTTTTCTTGGTCAAACAGTTTCATTTTATTTGCTTATTTAGGATGTCAATTTTTAATTATATTATAATTTGGAGTTTGCAACCTTAAAGAGAATTTAATGTAGTTTCTAAATATATAAATTTTAATTATTAAAAATTGAGTTAATTATCGATAGGGTGGTTTGACTTTTATTATTGGTTGACCAAAAATGTTGACTTTGCAAAACAATTTGGGACGGAGGGAGTAAAATGAAAGCGGGCTACATTGCGCCCGTTGATTTTCAACCAAAGGCTCATTTTGTAACCGGGGGAAAACCGTCACCAAATTATAAAAATAAACCATCATCATCTTTTAAACCCATAAAGGCCAAATTAAAAAATGAAAAGAAACCAAAGGGAAACCAACCATGCTAGAACTGTGGACAGATGGGGCATTGGGGCAAATTGCGTACAAATAGGCCAAGGCTCAATCTGAGTGATCTCAAGTCAACATATTAGATCTAAGAAATAAAAAATAAATAAAAACTATGAATATATTCCTAAAGTTAATGAGAATAGAATTAAATTGGCGCAAATGCAATGATTATTACCGGATGTGCAGTAATGTCATGCAGTAATTACAATGTAATTAAAATGCAGTAATTTTGATTGAATGAAATTAGTGCAAAATTCACATATTTTAAATAAGGGTATTTTTGTCATTCAACATTTAAATATAAACGAGATTTTTTTTGGATTTTCGGTCAAACAAATGTCCAAACACTAGTTGGGTCATAGATTGAGAAACTCGTTTAGTTTTAGTCATATCCTAGGAAATTTCCCTTTAAATTAATTTCAAGTGTTGCAATCCCCCTACTTAGGAAAGCAACTCCTCGTTGGGCGCATAAATCAATCTCAATCAATCCCCAGAACCCTCCCCTACTAAGTGCTCGCCCACTATCTAACCGATCAACACGCTGTCACAGAGTTGCTCTGATACCACCTGTAACACCCCGGCCCCATAGGGTCCGAGGTAGTTACTCTGAAATGTCATCCAAACCTCTAGTATTGTCCTCACAAATTACCACAAGCCATTTCCGCGCACTTTGTCCACACTTGTGCACGCCCTGAGAAACTTCTAAGGGGGTCACCCATTCCAAGATTACTCCCGTGAAAACACGCTTAACTTAAGATTTAT